ATTTGTAATTCTTAATTCCTTCCCCTTTTTCACCCATCCCCCTAAGCCATGCCTCATCTGGTGACCATTCTCTATGAGTTTATTCTGTTTTTTTTTTTTTAAGATTTCACATGTGAGTGAAATATATGGTATCTTTCTTTCTCTGTCTGACTTATTTCACTGAGCACAATACCCTCTAGGTTTATTAATGTTGCAGTTGGCAAGATTTCATTCTTTTTTATGGTTGAGTCGTATTCCATTGTATATATACATCACTTTTTTTATCCCATTAATCTATTGAAGGACACTTAAGTTGCTTCCATATTTTGGCTATTGTAAATACTGCTGCAATGAACATATGAATGTATATGTTTTCAGATTAGTATTTTGGTTTTCTTCGAATAAATACCCAGAAGTGGAATCGCTGGGTCTTTCTTTGTCTCTTGTTATAGCCTTTGTTTTGAAGTCTGTTTTGTCTGGTATAAGTATTGCTACTACAGCTATTTTCCCACTTTGTTTCCATTGTCATTAAATAATCTCTTTCCATCCCTTTACATTCAGTCTGTCTCTTTCTGTCTGAAGTCAGTCTTTTATAGAAAGCCACATGTAAGGGTCTAGTTTTCTTATCCATTCAGACAACCCTAAGTCTTTTGATTGGAGCATTTAATCCATTTACATTTAAAGTTGTTGATAGATGTGTGTTTATTGCCATATTATTAGTCATATTTTCAATCTTTTTCTTCTTCCTCCTCTTCCTCCTCTTCCTCCTCCTGCTCGTCTTGGTCTTGGTCTTGGTCCGGGTCCGGGTCCGGGTCCGGGTGCGGGTGCGGGTGCGGGTCCGGGTCCTGGTCCTTCAATATTTCTTGTAATGCTGGTGTGGTAGTGATGAATTGCTTTAGCTTTTTCTTGCCTGAGAAGCTCTTTATCTGTCCTTTGATTCTAAATGATAGCTTTGCTGCGTAGAGTAATCTTGGTTGTAGATCCTTTGTTTTCATCACTTTGAATATTTTTTGCCAGTCACTTCTAGCCTGCAGAGTTTCTGTTAAGAAATCAGCTGACAGTCTTATGGGTGCTACTTTATAATTAACTGTTTTTGTCTTGCTGCTTTTAAGATTCTCTCTTTTTGTTTAACCTTTGGCATTTTAATTATGATGTGTTTTGGTGTGGGACTCTTTGGGTTCATCTTGTTTGGGACTCTGTGCTTGCTAGACTTGCATATCTATTTCCTTTGCCAGGTTAGGGAAGTTTTCAGTCATTATTTCTTCAAATAGGTTTTCAATTCCTTGCTCTCTCTTCTTCTTCTGCTACCCCTATGATATGAATGTTAGTATGCTTGATGTTGTCCCAGAGGCTCCTTAAACTATCCTCATTTTTCTTTTTTTTTTTAAATATGTTTTTATTGTTGTTTTTTTTTAGAGAGAGCGAGGAAGGGAGAGAGAAATAGAAACATCGATGTGAGAAAGACAAATTGATTGCCTGCCTCCTGCATGGGGATCGAGCCCACAACCCAGGCACGTGCCCTGACCAGGAATCGAACCAGGGCCTCTCAATTCATGGGACAACGCTCAAACCACTGAGCAACACTGGCTGGGTTATCTTCATTTTCCTTTTTGCCTTTCTGATGGGGTGTTATCTGCTACCTTATTTTTCAAATTGCTGATTCGATCCTGTGCTTCATCTTATCTACTGTTGATTCCTTCTAATGTATTCTTCATTTCAGTTATAGTCTTCATTTCTGACTGGTTCTTTTTTATGTTTTTTTATATCCATTTTTGTGTTTTCTATCTTTTTATTGAAGTTCTCACTGAGATCATTTCGCATGCTTATAACCAGTGTTTTGAACTTTGTATTTGGTAGATTGCTTGTCTCCATTTTGTTTAGTTCTTTTTCTGGAGTTTTGATCTGTTCTTTCATTTGGGGCATGTTTCTTTGTCTTCTTATTTTGGCTGCCTCCCTTTATTTGTTTCTATGCATTAGGTAGAGCTGCTACAGTGTGGCCTTACATAGAAGGTGTCCCGTCAGATCCAGTGGGGCAGTCTTCCTTGTCACCTGACCCTGGTGCTTCAGGTGTGTCCCTTGAGTAGGTTGTGTGTGCCTTCCTGTTGTAATTGAGACTTAATTGCTGTTGGCATATTAGTGGGAGGGATTGACCCCCAGGCTGATTGGTTGTGAGGACCGGCCATGATTACAGAGGAGGAGTTGTTGTGCAGGGGGTGACTCTAAGAGAAGAATTTGCTTTTGTTGTTCAAGGGATGACCCTAAGAGCAGAATTTGCTTTTGCTTTAGCAGGGCTCTGTTGCCTGCCGAGTCTGCCCTTGGAAGTGGTTGGGTGGTACTGTGGTGTTGTCTGAAGCTGGCTACTGGGTGTGTTTATTCTGGAGCCTCTTGGGAGGTATAGGCCAAGGTCAGCTGCAGCTTGTGCCCTGCCTAGGTCCACCTGACCTGGTAGTTAGCTACAAAGTGATCTGCAGATTGTTGCAGCTTATTCTGGGCTTGGAGGTGCCTGGGAGGGGCTAAGCAGTGAACTGAGGATTGCTGCCACTTAGCAAGAGGGTTGGGGCACACACAAGTCAGATGCGACTTGTGTGGGGTTTGTGAACTACTGAGAGTTGTTTAAATATATATATTTTATTATTGGTTTCAGGAGAGGGAGGGAGAGAGAGAGAGAAACATTGATCAGCCTCGTCCTGCACGCCCCCTACGGCAATCAAACCTGCAAGCTGGGCATGTGCCCTGACTGGGAATTCAGTTGGTGACCTCCCAGTGGCTGTCACTCAACCAACTGTCTGGTCCTTCTGAGAGTTTTTAGGAAAGTCCACAGCATTAGCTGTTTGTATGGAAAAGCCACTAAAAGTGCCTTGAGCAGGCCTGCAAGTTGGATAGGGCGGGTCCTCTGGGAATGGGGGAAATAGTGTTAGCCAGGTTAATGGAGATTCAGATATGGCTCCCACTTGCACCTGCAGGGGGAGAGCTCAGCAAAGGAACAATGGCTTCTGGCAGCACTTCTGTGTGGGAAGAAGCTGCCCCTATAGCCTCGCCCTGAAGCTGGACAATTCAGTTCCTCCCCTATGTCCCTAGCGTCTTTCAAGCTGCCATTCCAGTGCTGAAGGTTAGAGTAAGTGAGTCCTAGTTAGTCTGTGAGCAGGTTCTTTAAGAGGAACACCTGAGACTCCAGCAGCCCTCCATCTTACTCAGCCACAATCCTTGCTGGTCTTTACAGCCAGTTATGCAGACTTCTCTTCCAGGCACTGGAGTCATGGGCGTGGGGCTGGGAACCCCTTGCTCCCCAGGGGAGAATTTTACAGCCGAGGTTTCCCTTCCAAGTTTTAACTACTGCATATGGGTATGGAACCTGCCACTTTCACATCTCTTCCCCTCCTACCAGTCTTGACCTCACTTCTGTATATCCTTAGTTATAAGATTTCTGTTCAGCTAGTCTCGATGATTGTTTTGTAGTTCAGTTGTATTTTGATGTGATCTTGGGAGAATGCAAGTCCTGCATTTACCTGCTCTGCCACCTTAATCAGAATCTGATATTTTCTTAAACCATAAAAGCAACTTTCATCATTAGTGTTCCTTATGAAATGAATAGAATTTCATTTTAGTTCCTGTATTAGCTTTTTAGTTAACATCCATGTGTGTGTGTAGGAGGGGAAGGTTATGTTTTAAAGCAGTTATTTTAGAGATTGCAGTTATATTTTTAACTTTTCACAATATGCTTTGGGTTGATACTGTATAATTTCTTGTGAAACAAAGGAACCTTTCTCAAATATAGTTTCATTTATTCCTGGTACTTATTCTTTATGCTGTAATTTTAATGTTATATTTATATGTTCTATAGACCCTATATATGATATTATGAATTTTCCTTTAACTAGTCATATGTATTTTTAAAATAGTAAGGGAAAATGTAATCTTTTATATTTACCATTTTTAGTGCTCTTTATGTTTTTCTTGACTATTTACAGATAAAATGAGTATCTGAACTCAATCTCCAACCTTTATTTCCTTATAGTGGGTAGGTAGCATCATCAACCGACATCTCTGTTCCATTCTTTTAGCATTAGCTGGGTTGGTCAGGATCTTCCCCACATATACATATTTCAGAAGTCATATCTCAAGAGGTTTGGGCAGAGTGAATAAGCAGAATATGAGGCTCCCTTCTATACTTCTTTTCTGGGATTTCCTCCTTTTACTTTTTAGATTTGTGCTGTCCAATAGGACTTTTTGTGGTGATGAAAATGTTCTATAATATGCCCTTTCACAGTGGTAGGCACTTGCTACATGCAACTGTTGAGGACTTGAAGTGTGGCTGGTGTACCTGGGAAATGGAATTTTTTTTTTTTTTAATTAGTCTCCATTTAAATACAAATACTCACATGTCCACGGATACTGTATTGAATAGACTATCATTGCAAAAAGTTCTATTGGTCAGCACTGTACTAGATGCTGTGGTCATCTTGAATTCTGTACTTATTTTTATGAGCTAATAAGGCTATAGGTTTCTATCCAGGTTTGAGCTGACCTGCATAATCGAACTGGAGCCTTCCCTTAGCTTAAAAGGTATAGAGAGTAGGAAGCTCAAAGCAGTAATTTCTGTTTTTCCTCATGTGAACTCCCTTCTAATTTATGCCTGATTTTGATTGCTCTCCAGAGCCTACAAGTAGTTGTTTTGTATACATTTTTATTCGAGTTTATAATTATATCTGCACCCAATAAGAATTGCTCCACCATTTACAAGAAGTTGAACTCTACCTCTTAACTTTTAAATCACTTTAATAGGGATTTAATTTTAATGAATTAATTTTTTTGTGTGCTTTGTTATCAGACTTTACTTACCAACCACTTATTATCCCATCCCCTTTAACCTTCCTAAAAGTATTAAAAAGCTTTAAGGTTACTGGATCTTAATGTTCTAAATTTGATATTCCTGTCTCAGATATGCTAGAATTTAATGGAATTCTTCAAAGCAGTAAACTCATATCATTGATAACCTGTTTGGTATACCTTGCCTTTTCTAGATACCTGAAAAGGTTTAAGGTGATGAAGATCAAAGTTCTACGAAGCTGGTGCCGGCAGATTCTTAAAGGACTTCAGTTTCTTCATACTCGAACTCCACCTATTATTCACCGAGATCTTAAGTGTGACAACATCTTTATCACTGGCCCTACAGGCTCCGTCAAAATTGGAGACTTAGGTCTGGCAACTCTGAAGCGGGCTTCTTTTGCCAAGAGCGTGATAGGTATGTTTCAAGTGTACCTTGCAGCCTAACTGGCTTTCTGACATTCCTTTTATTTAGAAGCCTGACCCTGTCAGAGCTTTTATTAAATAAAATAAACTGTCAAATATTCATAACTTGAACTTTGGAAGCAATCAGTTCCACATATGAGATGTGTAGTTCTTATGCTTCTAGAATCATCTTGAAAACTATTGATGTTTTTGTAAATTATGTACAAAGAATTAAGGTGAACTTTTAACAAAACCTTATAACTATCAATCTTATTGGGACATTCTGTTGATATTTAGTATTATATACTTATTTATGTAATAGATATAGTGTGCTATTTTCCACATAAAAGAAACAATTGATATGTATTTTCCAAAATAGTCTGTTGGATATCTATGTATATTAAAAAATAATCTGCCTATTAAAACTTTATTTTAAAGTGTGAAAATATGAGTTCATTCTAAAAGTTTGGTTTTATCAACTTTTTTCTTTATTCTAAGGCCTGTTTGTACATTGTAAGGTTATTTAGCAGCATCCCTGGCCTCTACTCACTAGATGCCAGTAGCACACCCTTTGTCCTCCCCCTAGTTACAACCAAAAATGTCTCTGGAAATTGCTAAATGTTAACCTTACAGCTACCGTACAGTAGGGGGCAGACAAGTATTTTGATCTTTTTTTAACCCATTGTCCTGTCTTATAGGGAAATACCATCATGTCTACTTTATTCCATGCTAGTTTCTCATCTTTTTCATTCATTTTCAATATGAATTATATCACTTTATCTTTATTATTAAAGACTGTTTTGACTTGGTACAATAGTAATCCATTTGAAATAGTCAATAACCCCGTTCTAGTTTCTTTTATGAAGGGCTTGCAGTGGAAGATCTATAAGATATATGATAAAACAGACTAAGATTTTATTCCCCTTTCTAATACCCCTCCTTCCTTCCCTCTTCTACTTTATTCTCTCTCACAGGTCAACTCCTCTGCTTCTTCCCCGGGTGAGTAACATCTGCAGCTTCTACTCGAATTGAGTCTGAATCATTCTTTTAATTTAAGGTACCCCAGAGTTCATGGCTCCTGAGATGTATGAAGAGAAATATGATGAATCTGTTGACGTTTATGCCTTTGGGATGTGCATGCTTGAGATGGCCACGTCTGAATACCCTTACTCAGAGTGCCAGAATGCTGCGCAAATCTACCGTCGTGTGACCAGTGTAAGTCTTCCTCTCACTGACTGGTGAGCTTAGGTCACATTAAAAAGGAATCCCAAACCCTGGCTGGTTTGGCTCAGATGTCAGAGCATCGGCCTGCGGACCGAAGAGTTGCGGGTTCGATTCCGGCCATACCTCAGTTGCGGTTTGGTCCCCGACCCTGGTAGGGGTCATGTGGGAGGCAAGTAGTCGATGTGTCCCTCTCACATCGATGTTTCTCTCTCTCTCTCTCTCTCTCTCCCCCCCCCAACTCTATCTGAAGATAAAAGGAAAAAATATCCTCAGGTAAGGATTAAAAAAAAGAAGGAATCCCAAGCTGGAGAACATCAAACCATGCAGAAGGGAGCAATAGTGAAAGCATACTGAGGTGCTGGGGGAAGAAGGAGTTGAGTTATTTATTGCTCATGATACAGTAAGAGCAAACATAAAGCTCAAAGAACAACCAGTTTATCCTGGACCCTCCTTGCATTCATTTAAATATTCATTATGAGATATGTAAATTCTCATTTTCTCCCGCCATAAAGCTTACTATTTGAGTTAAGATAATGCTCTTAACCTAAGCTGATTTGTTCACATGCTTTTTCTCTGAATGGCTTAAAATTGATATACTAATTTATCAAATCATTTATAGGTACCCACAGTGTTTAAGGTACAAATTTAAACCTTACTCTAGTTTAAATTACACATGGTAATTCATCTCTGCCAAAAGATATTTTCTAGGGTTGTCCAATTGAAACCTGAAGCGTAGTTGCTAGGTTCATAATATAAAGCACCAGAAGAAGTTTCATCTGTCCTTTTTCTCTATTTCATTGTTGCATTTCACCACTATGTACTTCATTGTTCATTATACTTCTGTAAAAATTAAAGATTTTTTTCTTACATAATTATACTATACCTGAAAAAATTTACAGTAATTTCTGGATCATTGATACTCTAACCCGTTCAGATATTTTTTCTGTTGTTTTAGAGATGTCTGTTTATAGTCTGTGTTCAAAATAGGGTCCATCAAGGCCAACAGAAAACATTTTGCTGTTATGTGTCTTTAACGAGAACTGTTGTCCCCACTTTCTTTTTCTGTGTTCTATTGATTTGTTGATGGAATTAGATGAATTGTTTTGAGGACTGTTTCACATTCTGGATTTATCGATTTGCTTCCTTATGATGTCATTTAACTTGTTATTCTATCTTCTGCATTTCTGTAAGCAGAAATTTATTTTAAAGTAGTGGAGGGGTGTCAGTAATACAAAAATAATTAGTCTTTTTCACTCATTTATACAAAAGTGTACAGTGTATTTTTCCAGAGACTAAATGATGTATGATATTGCAGCAGATTAAATACAGAAGCAGATATGACAATCCATTTGTCGTCTTGTAAACCGTACATGAAAAAGATTGCAAAAATGTAAAACAATACTACTCTTCTCACTAAGTTTTTTTGTGTGGAAAATACTGGGTTTTTTATTTTAAAGGTTATATATTATTAATATTTAATGAGATTTATTATAATTTCTAATGCATTAATATTTTAAAACTTTCCCGGTTTTAATTTCTAACATGGTAAATGGCAATAATATAACATATAAACTAAAGCCTATGGGGTCCTCAGTTTTTAAGAGTGTAATGGGGGTCCCCAAGAGAAATAAATTTAAGACAACTAGTTCCAAATGATTGATAAAATTTAGGTGAGTCCTGGTCAGTGTCGCTCAGTTGGTTGAGTTGTTGACTCGTGCACCAAAGGGTTGTGGGTTTGATTCCCAGTCAGGATGTATTAAAAAAATCAGGTTAAAAAAATTTTTTTGCAAGAATAATTAATATGTGGTTTTGTATTTCATATTATATTACATTAAGAGTCATGTAGCATCTAGTTATCTCATTTTTAGTGATGTAATTTTATTGGATTTTGATAAATTAGGAGATGTGATTTTAAATTATTTAGATTTGGATAGTTGATTAGAATGGTCATTTAGTATATTTCTAAAAATTAATGGGAAACCTTTGTATTAGGTAGATCAAATTAGTTTTATATCTTCATAAATAAAGTATGGGAGAAATCTTTGATTACCTCATTAATTATAATTGCTGTGAATATTCCTATAATGTCTCTTTTGGGGGTGTGTGTGTTTATATGTGATTATTGTTACTATTTCCAAGTTTCTGTCCTGAGTCCTTACTGTTACATTTATCAACACCCACATACCCATCCCACCCCAGTTTCTAATTCATAATAGGGCTCTCTAAAGCATTGATCCTCAATTCAGACAGGAGAAATGTAGGGTTTTTAGCCTTCAGATAATTCTAATAAGTATCTTAATTATTATTCTATAGTTTTGCTCTTAGGAAGTTCATTTGCTTTGCCTGTTTGTTCGAGTTCTGTGCCTGTATTCTAAGTTCAGGCTGTTTTTTTTTCTTTTTTCTTTTTAGTAATCCTCACCTGAGGTTATTTTTTCTATTTATCTTCAGAACCTTTGGATAGAGTGGGAGGGAGAGAGAGAGAAACATCAATGGGAGAGGGACACATCAACTGGTTGCCTCCCGCACGATCCCGACCAGGGCCAGGAATGAACCGCAACTAAGGTACATGCCCTTGGCTAGAATTGAACCCGGGACTCATTGGTCCACGGGCTGAAGCTGTACCACTGAGCTAAACAGGCCAGGGCCAGGTCTTTTTTTTATTATTACCCTTTCTTCCCTCAATGCATAATAATGTTCACTTTCTCTTTTTTTCTTTGGGGATAGGGTGGGCTATTACTGGATGATTTCCCCCCTTATTTTATTTAGAATGCTTGAAACTTCAAGTATGTGACTCCTTGTTCTATCAAAGGATATACAAATTTTTAATATTCTTTTTTGCAGTTCCTTATCTTCATCTAAACACTTTTTTTTTTCTTTTTTAATCCTTACCCAAGGATCTTTTCCCATTTATCTTCAGATAGAGTGGGAGGTAAGGAGAGAGGGGGAAAGGGAGACAGAGACAGAGACAGATGGAGAAACATCCATGTGAGAGAGACTCATCAACTGGTTGCTTCCCCCACAACCCCTACCAGAGCCAAAGACTAACCGCAACCGAAGTACGTGCCCTTGACTGGAATCGAACCCATGACTCATTGGTCCACAGGGCTATGCTCCAACCACTGAGCCAAACTGGCCAGGGCCACCTAAACACTTTTTTAGTTAAGCGAGTTCTCTTTATTATCTTGTACATGTGCCCCATTCTTTCCTTTATTCCTACCCATTTGTACATGCTGTTTACCTTCTCTGCCTGCTCTTTTGCTATACAGTGAATTCTCATACTGTACATAAACAGACTTTCCCCACAAGATTTAATCTGATGGGCCTCACTGCATAATGATCTTTGTGTTCTCTGAGGTGAGCTTTTCAGTTGATCTGAATCATTAAATGTTATTTATAATTGATTGTTTTACTTATGAGTTAAAATACTGAATTAATGTAAAGCATTTAGAATAGTGCTTAGCACTTTATAAATGTTTGCTATTTATTCTATTTAAATTTACAAAAATAAATAATAAAATGAAAATAAATACCTATTATAAATACATATCTTCTTAAGAAGATAAGCTCTAACTTAACATCAAACCTGATTATGTTGAACATCAAACCTGAATATGTGGTTAAATACATAACTTTAAATTTTAGGACTATAAAATTTACAATTTGTATGTGGAATGTTTTGTGTGTTTCATTTACTAACTTACAGTCTATTGCTTTTTTTCATTTCATCATACTCTAAAGCAGGGATTACCAAACTGTTATCCATAGGCCAGATCCAGACTACTGCTCATTTTTGTACACCCTGAACTGAGAATGGTTTTTACTATTTTTGTGTGGGTTAATCCTCACCCAAGGGTATTTTTTCCATTTATTATTATATATTTTTTACAGAGATTGGGGGGAGGCATCAATGTGAGAGATACACATCAGTTGGTTGCCTCCTGCATGCGCCCTGACCAAAGCCAGGGATCAAACCTGTGACCCTTCTGTGTACAAGCAGACTCTCTAACCATGGAGCCACATTGGCCAGGGCAGTTTTTAAATTTTTTTTAAATGGTGAAAATTAAAAGAAGAATATGTCATAACATGTGAAAATTATATCAGATTCCTGTTTCAGCGTCATAAATAATTTAAAATCCAGCCATACTCATTTGTTCCTATTTTATCTATGTCTGTTTTTACATATTACAGTGACGTAATTGAATATTTGCAACAGACTGTATGGGTCAAAAACCTAAAATACTATCTATCTGGCTCTTAATAGAAAAAAGCTGCTGCCTCTTATTCTTTTTTTCCCTTCTTCTTTATTGATTTTTAGAGGAGAGGGACGAGAGAGATAGAAACACCGAATGACTGCCTATTGCTTGCTCCCTACCAGAGACTGGGCCCACAACCTGGGCATGTACCTTGACCGGGAATTGAACCAGTAGCCTCTTGGAGCATGGGTCAGTGCTCTCAACCACTGAGCTACACTGGCCGGGCATGCCTCTTCTTTTTTTTTTTTTTTTTTTTTTTGGTACATGCCCCTAGGAGGAACCAAACCCAGGACTCTCTGGTCTACAGGCCAGTGCTCCAACCGCTAAGCCAAACCGGCCAGGGCTCTTAACACATGTTACCAGAACTTCTTAAAATTTTTTCCTTTAACGAGTTCTGTAAGTAATTTCTAAGCTGCAAATATGGTGATAATATTCTGTTATTAAAATGCTATTGGCCATCTTTTGTATATGTGTGTGTGTGTGTGTGTGTGTGTGTGTGTGTATATATATATATATATATATGAAACTTGGTATAGCCAAGTAGCTACTTAAATTATTAGCTCTGAAAATTGGTAGATGGTCTCTCTGTTAAGAGTAGAACTATCACTTTAATTCTTTGATGAAAACATAAGAGATTTTAATGTAACAACTATTTTCACTGGCCATACTTATTCTTAGTATAAGAATAATATCTTAAACCCAGTGTTACTGCTTGAGGTGATCATTCTGGATTTTAAG